ATTTGAAGATTAAAAATATTTTATTTTCTTAATTAGGAATATTTTGTTTTATTTGTCATGATGTTTAAATTATTGTTATATTTTAGCATTTATTGTTATATTTGGATTTAATTTTTAAAATTTTTAGAATTTTCTTGCAATTACTTATAGGGTTTAATTGAGGAATATAAATAACATTTTAACTTATTTGCTTTGTAAACATGCCTTTGATTAAATGAGAATTGCCATTATTTTGTCTCTTATCTAAAATTTATCTTCTTTCTATATTCTCTCTACTATCTTTCCATCTCTCTCTTTACTCTTTTTTATTTTTCCTTCTTCCCTTTTTCCTTCCCCATTCTACATTAGCTCGGACTGTTATCATTTATGTCATATTTACTTAGTAAATTACTAGTATTTTTAAGATACAAGGAAGGGCTAGATAAGATAAAAAGATTGGATAAAAGGGACATAGATCCGGGCCACGAAACTAGGCTTCTAAAGAAATGAACTCATATGGCATAGGGTTTGCTTTCTATAAGCTCCGTGCTAGCTAATGGCTTTCAGGCCTATAATATTGGCCTTTTTATTAAAAAAATGGAAATATGAGAATATTTTGTGATGCGTGGCTTACTTCTCTTGAATCTGTAACATTCCCTGATCCTCACTTTCCTTTACTTCTTATATCATTCTTCGTTTCCTTCGATATCATTCATACTTATTGTTATTGTCCGAAGCAAAACTTAGGTTCGTTATCTTTCTCACCTCTTTAACTTTTTGTGTTTTTTCATTCTAGCTATTTTTTTAGGGTTAGGGTTAATTGTCTAGTTTTGCCTCTTTCACATTGAAATTTTACGACTTGAATGCGATTACTTATCATCTCTCCCATTTTTGGATATTGATATTCCTTTTTTACTTGACCTCTATATTGAATGTGATTTGTTACATATGTTGTCGAATTGAATTGCTTATTTTCTTATGTTTCCTTAGAGTCTTGACTTTGAGAGCCATTTGTGATCTAAATAGGCCTATAGATGAGATATGATGATTTTTTATATTTTGTTCTTGTCTTGGCCACGATTCTTGGTATTGTGTAGACTTATGACTGCACGTGTTTTCTTTTTTTTAATTAAAAAGCTTTTTTTTAACAAGTGAGCTATGTTTATTAGCCAATGGAAACCTTAGTTGGTGTGCCCTTTGCATGATTTTTAATCAATGTCTTGTGAAATGAAGATTGAGAGTCTTAATATGCTCATGTTTGATTGAATTATGGAATTTGGGGTTTGCATTCACACACATTATGCTTGGTGTTAATGATTTCTAAGAATGAGGAGCAAGAGAAGAAGGTGAAATTGTAAGTTAAGGCTTTGTTTATAGTCATATAAGCATGTTAAGATTATATTTGTTGGGTTTTATGAAAGTACAATTTTTAGGGTGCTATTTTAATTTTGAAACAGTTGAGAAGTTATGTGTGAAATATTGATTTAGAAAAAAGCCACATCAATTGAATATTCAATCTCACTTTTGTCACGAACTGCCTATCTTTAAGAACTGGCTAAATTGAATTTGTATGTTTCCAGTATGCATCTAAAACATTCATAACTAGTATCAGCATATGGTTAGCATACTGAAATACTATCTCCTTTTTTAAGCAAAAGCATATCAAAATTGGAAGAGACAGATAAGAATGAAAAATTCTTTTTCAGTATATTCTTTATGACTTGGCTCTGATACCATTAGAATATGCTAATGGTATAGTCAGTTTGTAACTAGTTGTCGATTTTTTTTTTGGAATATTCTTTACGAGTTTACCTTCTTTGTCTTTTCTGTTCTAATTGTCAAAATTTTTACATTTGACAATTTGAATCAGCTTGCTAGGATTGCCTTGCAGGATAGATAGTTCTTGTCAGTTTTATAGTTTACTTAGTCTGTATTTTAGAGATGCCTCATCGTGCAATATATCCTTAAGCCTTAGAGGGTGTTTGGTTGAAGGGGAAGGGCCAAATTGGGGGATTGGAAGGGAGAAATTTGTCAGCTATTGACCAATATGCCTATCATGGTAAGTTCATAAGATGCAGATATACTTTTTCAGTATCTCAACACTGATAAAATGAGGGTAGAACTATCCATATATAATTATTTTTCCTCCTCTCCTCTTCTGAACCAAATAAGGCGACATTAAACCCCTCCTTCTCCTTGAATTAAACACACCCTTAGTTAGTAAAGTATAAACTTAAGCCTTAAGTATAGTATTGAGATTGAGTTGGGTATTTGAACATGTCTTCCCTTCCTTCATCTATTAAAAGGGTATTGTATTTTTTGTATCTGATACTGACAGAATGACTAAATAAGCTGTTAGTTTTCTCATTTTGGCTTTAATCTCTTTATGTATACTTTAGTGGAGATCATTCGTGACTTTTTTATTCTCTTGTTAAATAGATAGTTACCTTACCATTTGAGTGGCTGCTATTCTAACTTATTTGACTAATCCTAGTATGAAATCAGGAGTCTTGTTACAAATCCTCAGCTATGGTAGGACTTGTTCTTCATGCCATCATCAAAATTATGTGATGCACTAACACTATTGGTTACATTGTCATCCTTTAAAATATGGATGCTTTTTGCAACAATTCTTGTGATATCACCTTAAATGATGAAAGTTGCTTTCAAATAGCAAATTGGGAACTCATTGTACTGTATAGTGTCAATTCTTTGTTACCTAATAACATAATTGTGCCATATGCTGTGGTGAAAGGGTAAGATGTGATGGAGGAATCTATCATTTGTAAAGGCAATTCAATGGATAAAGGAGTCTGGAGTAGGAAACATGATAAGACACAAATGTTGATATGAGATGCTGTCCTTTATGTCAATTTGTGATTTAGCTGTTGTATGATTATAGTTTTGTATTTTCTCTTTTAAGATAACATTTTATGTTGTTACAATGGTAGATAAATAGCTACATATTTCAGTAAAAAGAAGATATATAGCTTATATAATGATTGTAGATAAATTAACTGATGCAGAAAGGGTGGTTCTTTTAGGAAAGTAAACATTATAAAATTATTATATTTTGGATACTTGGATGATTATGGTAGGATTTATAAGCCACAACTTAAGGACAATTGGCTTTCCAATAATACAGGTACTTTTCTCAATACAATTGTGAACTGTCACTTCCATGAGCAAGATCCAGCTAGCTTTTGAGTTCACCTCTTGAACTTCTCCTTTTTTAGTTGTCTTTTCCTATGATCTATTTTCGTACCCTTGCGAGAAGAAAAACGTGGCTCATGAAGCTTAGTATCCTTGTGTGCCAATTTCCTACTCTTTGATGTTCATTGATAGATAACCATTCAGGCCAATTACTAAAAAGGTGGAGTGACGTCAGTCACATTCCTTTTATCTATACTTTCATTGTATTAGGAACATAAAGATGTGGGCTAAGGACTGATTGGTGGTGTGTACAATGATATTTGATTGATGTGAGATAGATTGCTTTTTAAAAATTGCATACTCTTTATTGTTAGAATTAGAGTCGATAACTTGGTTTAAGCTCGATGGGTAAACCCAAACCCGCCTAAAAAATTTAGAATCGAACCTAAAAAATATTAAATTTTTATTGTTTGGGCCTATTCAAGCCCGAATAAGCTTGAGAAAATTTGAGCCAAGCTCGATCGGGTTCGGGCTTGGCTCGAATAAAAAAATAAAATTTTAAAAAACATATAAAATCTAATAAATATTAATTAATTCTTTGGATTTTATGTCATTTTATACTAAAATATCTTATATTTGAGTGTATTACTATAGTTATTTTTTTAAAAAAATAAAATATTAATATCTCCATATTTTTTAATTAATAAAATATCTCAAAAAAATATTTAAAATATATTTTAATGTTAATTTTTATATTTTAAGACCCAATTTTTTTTAAAAGTTGAGTCCTATACATCATTTTCTTGTCCAAAAAAAATATTTTATATTTTTATAAAATAGGATAATTAATTTTAAAGTAAAAGTAAATTAAAAATGATTTTAAAAATAAAATTTGAATATGTATGAATTCTTAGCCCTACTACTAGGTAAACAATATTAAATAGAATAATATCTTTGAATAATTATTCAGTTTTCATCCATGCCATACTTGATTAAAAATTAAGAATAAATTAAAATAAATATTCCTTATATGCAAGAGTTAAATAATATAAAAAGTTAAAGAAAAAAATTTAAAAAGTATTTTACTCATAATTAAATTTTTTTATATAATATAATGATGGCTATTTTTCTTGTATTCTTAAAAATAAAAAATATAATTTATTCAAAAGTTATTAAAAATTTTGAATTAATCAAGGCAATAATTTTAAGTTAGTGATGTAATTGTGATTGAATTAAAATCAACTCGATCATAATTAAAATAATATAATTTAATTAAAATATATAAAGAAGAGTAATATTTAAATAATCAAGACATTAATTTATAAGTAAATGAAATATTCATGAATAAATTATATATAATGCAATAAGATAGTAACAAAGTTTCTTAAGTATAAAATTGATAAATTATTATTTTTATTTTAAAGTTAAAATAGAATTTTATGTTTAACAGAATTATTTAAAAATTAAAATTAGTTCAAAAATAAAAAGAAAAATATTTTTAAAAAAGTTCGGGTATTCAAGTCGGTCTAAATAAACCTGAAATCCAAAGGTTTTAAAGTCATTGGTTATATGAGTTTTTTAAAAAAAGTATGATACAAGCCTGGCTCACCCAAATTATTAGCTTTAGTTGAATTTTGTGATTTTATATCTCATTTGCTATACTGAAAATGAAGACATAAAAATAGAAATAAAATTGCAATTTATATATATATTTTTTAATATGCGTGAAATAGATTTTTATGTTGAAATGATATACATCAAAATAGATTGAATTAGATTCTATAAAACTCATGAGATAGTTTCATGAAAGTAAATTTTTTCAGACAAAAATATCCCCAGTGATAAAGTTATTTAACAGATTTGCCCCAACATCAGTGAAGTCAATGGAAAACCCTAACGCCATCTGATTTTTTGGGATAGATCGATGGAGAAGAGAGACCGCAGCTAGCACGGTCGAGGAGAGAGACAAAGCAAAGCGGACGACGAGACAGGGCGAAGCGGACGGTGTGACGGTGAAGTATTTGAAGGTGAGCGTTCTTCGGTTCATCTACTACGAATGCTCTTCTAGTATTTGAAAAATCTTGTTTTTCTTTTTGATTCGTCCAAGTTATGAAAGCTTCTTCTTCTATTAAATAAAGAACTTTGTTACATATCTTGAAGCAAACCTTGTCTCGAAACAAATCACAGCTTTTCACCATGTCTGAGCATTCCCGAAGCAAACCTTGTCCCGAAACAAATCACGGCAAGCGGAACTGGCATTATAATCTCTCGAAAAGATTATTTCTTACCCTTCCAATGTCTACACACAGAACAAAACTCTCTCTCCCATTTTCACAATTCCTGGAACAAGAAGAAAGAATGTAAAGATTCAAAAATAAAAGGGAGGAAAGTAATACACATGTCGATTATGCTGTATAACAGACAATACAATTTGCCATTGATGCCAATTACTACCCAGAAACAAAGTAAAATGACAGCCTGTATAACAGAATAGTAGAGTCAGATTATGCTGTGCTCTGGAGCCTGGAAATATGAAAACCCCCTGTTTGCCGCTGCATAGCTTTTGCCCATTTTTAATCTTTGTCAGAATAATGAGAGGAGATTTTTATTCAGGTATATAGCATTGTTGTTCACATGTCTAGTGATAGAGAGGGAACAGAACGAAATTACCTGAATTTTTTTATTTTTACTTAAAATACTATTGTAATACAATATGAAAGGTTGTGTCTTATCTTTTTATAGTTGTTATGAACATATGTGAATTTATTCTTATATACTTGTTTTTGTGTATATATACAGTCATGGATCCTGATACATTGTGCATCTGTTGCTTTGGTGGTTTTATGTTCTATTTGCTATGAACCAATGTTTTATGACTGTTTGTATTGCTACTGCTCTACATAGGTGACAAATTAGTCGTAAGCCATACACTTTGGACTTTCATATTAAGAGGGTTTGCCTTCGAAATCTTATTTACAACAGTGATACAACCTGTTTTAATCAAATTAGAATGAATAGGGCTATTTTTGAGGAGCTATGTCTTATGCTTGGTATAAAAGGAGGTTTAAAACCAACTAAAAACGTGTTGGTTGATGAACAAGTTGCAATGTTTCTCCACATCCTTGCACATCATGTGAAAAATAGAGTTATACAGTTATATTTTGGGAGGTCCAGTGAAACTATAAGTCAGTATTTCAATAATGTTTTGATTGCCACAATGCGCTTGAGAGAGGATCTATTTATTAATGTTTGGAAGGGGAAGTAAGGGATTTGGTTTGGCCTGTGGATGATCTTGGATGTGTGGTTGTGATGTGGACAGGGAGGAGGCGGCAGTTGGTGTTGGTTGTGGTGGTAGTTTTGCTGATCATTTGTGGTAGAAGTTAGGAGAAGTAAATTTTGAAAATGAGTTCAGACAGCAGGAGCCGGAGCCGGAGCCGGAGCAGGAGTCCAATGGATCGGAAGATCCGATCTGATCGATTTTCCTATCGTGATGCGCCTTACAGGAGAGATTCACGCCGGGGCTTCAGGTGTTTTAGATTTTAACTATTTACTTACAGTTTCCATTGTCTGCTTAATGCACTGGTTAGGGAAGCTGAAGATGATTGAAACTATGATTTCTAAAAGGGGCCCTGGATCTATATGATAACGTCTCTAATATCTGGGGTTGGACCCGGTGAGGGTTATCATGAATTTTATGGTTGGTATAGCTTGTGTAGAAAGAATGTTTTAGCTATAAGGAGTTGCGCTGAATCTGCATACAGTATTTCTGGATTCAATTCTTATTCATTGGAGGGAGGATTGATTCTCTGAAGTCTGAATTGGTTTTTTGGATACTTTATTATTGTTGGAACTTAGATATCATAATTTTGATTTTTGTTCGTTTGAACAGTCCTTCTACTTTCTTCCGGTGTCTATTGCTTTGACTGGTTTTGAGAATTTATGAATGTGCTTTAGCAATTTTTAACTTCATAAATTCTAGGAGTCCTATGACAAGCCTTTTGATTTAGAATACATGAGCTCTTATGGCACAATCGTGACCCTTATGTGGTTTTGCTTTCAGCCGAGACAATTTGTGCAAGAACTGCAAAAGGCCTGGTCATTATGCTAGAGAATGCCCTAATGTTGCAATCTGCCACAACTGTGGTCTACCCGGGTATGTAACTTATTCTCTGTATCATAATAAATTTAATGATATTCTTCTTGCTGTAAAGTATGTTGGCAGTTGGAGTCTGGTGGTGAATCATAACTTCAAAATATAAGTACGGGAATTGAAGTTGATTTTCATTGTTGGCTAGGGTTTATAGTCTGGGAAGGGCGGCCTAACTAAAGTGACTTGGGTAGGAATTATTTTTTTGTCATTTTCATCTAATGCTTCCATGCATTTCCTGATCTATGATTTATTTGAGTTATAATTTGGCATAGTTATCAACTAGAAATTCAATCTGTGAATTGGGACGCTAGTTTTTTTTTTTTAATCATGGACCATGAATCATGCTTGGTAGTGCAACTTGTTAAGTTTTTTTTTTTTTAATGGGTAATTTATGTTGATATTTTCAGTGTTCTTGACATGTTTGTCTATACATACTATCAAGACCCCTTAGCCAATTCATTATTTGTTGCTTCACATACCTCTGTAGAATGTAGAAAGCTATTGCACGTATTGTGTTGGCATTTGCTAGTTCTTTGATAAGGTTATGTATGAATTGATTTTTCATACTTATATGCTATGTCAAAGGTTTAAGGGCAAGGAAGCTAAGGAACTTGTCCAGTTGTCCATGAACTTGAATCCCCTTCATTTCCCTTTGCTTTATTTCTCATCTACCAAATATAGCATTCCCTCTTCCCAATCTACTATTTTGAATCTTGAAGCAGAAAGAACAGGGTTAGTTATTCATGTCAGAGTCCATGGATGTCATTTACATGGTATGATTGTATCCATTATAATGCCTTTTGATTTCTGGGGCTAATCTGTATTGTTTTGCTTTTAAATACTTTGTTAGGCACATTGCTTCTGAATGCACGACGAAATCACTGTGCTGGAATTGTCGAGAACCTGGTCACATGGCCAGCAACTGTCCAAATGAGGGCATTTGCCATACCTGCGGTAAAGCTGGACATCGTGCCAGAGAATGCACTGCTCCTCCATTGCCTCCAGGGGACTTAAGGTTGTGTAATAACTGTTATAAGCAGGGCCACATTGCTGCAGACTGTACAAATGAGAAGGCATGCAATAACTGTAGGAAGACTGGCCATCTGGCACGTGATTGTCCAAACGATCCCATTTGTAACTTGTGCAATGTTTCTGGGCACGTGGCTAGACAATGTCCAAAATCCAATCTTCTTGGAGACCGCAGTGGGGGTGTTCGTGGTGGCGGATACCGTGATGTTGTATGTAGAAACTGCCAGCAATTGGGTCACATGAGTAGGGATTGCATGGGGCCCTTGATGATTTGTCACAATTGTGGGGGTCGAGGTCACCTGGCATATGAGTGCCCTTCCGGTCGGTTCATGGATCGCTACCCGAGGAGGTACTGATGGATGACAGGTCGTGGGTCTGAGGTTATAGAGGATTATTTTTCTCTGATTTTTAGTGAGCTTGGATTGCTCAAGTTTAGAGTATCTTAAGATTGAACTTGATAGCACATGTGTTGGTTTTGATCTTTTGCTTGGCAGATACGCGTGGATCTATTGGTATTCTAGGATTTGATTTTGCTTGTTTTTCTTTGAATAAGATACTTGCTACTGATCAGAGATGTGTTATCACATGTTTTTGTGTTACCAGATGAGGCTTCGTTATGGTTGCACTTTTTGTTTTGTTTTTTTTTTTTTTGGTGTAGAATTTCCTATTTGGATGATAAGTTTTGAAATTAACTACTGTATCCGCGTGGTGGATATATATATATATATATATATATTGTTTTTATCGGAGACAAATAGATGTTCAAGCCCATCTAAATTTGGACTTCTTCAAACCCAACCCTAGTGAATTAGCTGCGCTTCATTACTGGCTGTCGGCCGGAGCTATCAGAATTATTGAACCATGTGCAAAATTGATGCCTGCTCGAGTGCTTGTGTGGAATGGGAAAAATTAATCATTTAATTTCAATTCTTTTGGCTAAGTTAAAATTTTAAATTTTAACTCAGTGTAACTAAAGTTTTATGTTTTTGATTTTGTTGATATTTAGTTTGGAAATTCTAACTTAGTGTAATGAAATTTTTATAGTTACAACCAGTTAAAAGACATAATGGATTTTTTTTTAACTTTCAAATTTGTCTCTATTTTGAATTTGGTTCTGTGAGATTAATTTTTATCCATTTGATTTCTTAAGTTTATCTTATATATTAATTTGATCCTTATTATTCAAAGGTGATAAAAAACTATTAAAAATTGTTGACATTGATAACTAAATATTAATATAGTTATGTTAATTAATGAAAAGAAATGCAATTATTTGGAAAAATAAATTTTAAAATTTTAAAAAACAAAATAACAAAATATGGCAAAAGAAACAAAATTGATTTGAATGCTAATTTGTTCTCAGTTAGCTATATATATAGGGTAAGGATATATGAGTAAATTATCTTTTAAACTTTAGGTTTAATAGCATCATAAACTCTAAACTTATTTATTGTACAAACTATTCTTTTAATTTTTAAAAATGGTGCAATTCAATCTTTACTATTAATAAAAGTTAATTTTGATCATTAGTTAATCAGAAAATAACTTTAAAAATTACAATAAAGGACCCAAGAAATAAATATGAGGAACCAACAAATATTTATAAAAAATGACCAATTTTTTTGGTTCTTTTCAGAAATTTTTGAGATTATTTTTTGATTAACTAATTATCAAAGTAAACTTTTATTAACGACAAAAGTTGAATTGCATTATTTTAAAAAGTTGAGAGAATAATTTGTACAATAAATAAGTTCATGGTCTATGATATTATTAAATTTAAAGTTTAAGAGGTAATTTATTCATCTACCCATATATATATATTTATTGAATTATCAACATACTTTTATATTATATTAATTCAAGTCAATTTATGTTTCTAAACTTGAAGGATTAACATAATAATTTAAGAAAACTTAAGGATTAAATAAGTAAAAATTAAACTTTAAGGATTAAATTGATAATTGAGATAAATTTGAAGAATTAAAAGTTTTATTATTCCTATTTAGATTGTTGGTTCTTACTTTTTAGAAAATAAAAATTTAAGGATTAAAGTTATTTATTTAAATATAAAAACTAATGTTTTAAATAGTTAAAACATAGAGACCATATGAGAGAATATCACTGTAATCTTTGGATAATGATTACATTAATGTAGCTTAATTTCCTTGTTTTTCCCCTAAAAAAAGAAGAGCTATTTTTTTTTAATGGAAATAAACAGGAAAAATAAAAGCACTAACTAACCTATAGGCCGAGTGGGAGATGCCAGCACCACGAGACCTGCTCCTTGTGCACGAGCAATTCTCGCGAGTGCATCTGCAGCCTTGTTCGCTTCACGGTCACACACGATCACGTCCACCAAGTAGTCACGACTTATTAAAGCTCGTACCTCCTGCATGATATCGTCGTCCCAGTTCACGGCAGCATCCAAGTTGTAGATCGCGTCCACAACTTCCTTGCAATCACATTCCACAACAATATTCCTCATATTCTATTCCTATGATAGTTTAAGAGCCCAGAGTATCCCCCAAGCTTCTGCTGTCAAAGGAGACCCATTCCCAATCAGACACGTGAATCCTCTTATAAACTCTCCATGGGATTTCGCACTAAACCTCCACAGGCACAGATCCCCAATAAAAAGCTCATAGACCTATCTGTTGGAATATTATTTATGAATTAGCATTAATTAATAAGCCCAATAAATTGGTCCTTATGATCTTGTGTGGACCGTGATAGGTGGACCACACAAGTGAGCCCAATGGGCAGAGGCCCAACCCACAACCCAGTAGCTGTCAGTTATTTCCTATCTCTTAACTGACTGGGTCAGAGATAATAGATAATATAATTATTTAATTATTTAATAAGGCGGTTACCGATCTGATCTATATAAGACGATTAGTCGGTAACCACAAAACATACGACTCATTCTTCTACCTCTATTATCTCTGAACTCTCTGAAGGCTCTGGGGACCTGTGGGTTGTGTACCTGCCTATACTCGAGGTAATCGAGATCTCTCTAGCACTCATGGATTCTTCAAGTACGCATACATTACTTTACTTGTCTATATGAATTGAGATATTCAGATATAACACGTGGCATCAGAGCGAGGTTATGAATATTAATCTGTATATCTCAATTCAATATGCTTAAAGAGATGATGATAAACTGAATAGAAATTTCTTAATTTATCTATCATATTCATATATGTTTAGTTCTCATTTATCATTTTGAATATGATAATATGATTTTGGACATGTGAATTTTGGTTTAAATTTGTTAGATTTATGATAAAACCATTAGCATGATCTAAAAAAAAACAAAAGGTCCTTCGGCCAATTTCACCGTTCTGGAGTAGGGGACAATCGCTGCTCCTTTATGACGGTGGCGTCACTCGTCGTTCTACCCCTCTTCTCACGGCACTGTCGCGGTGAAGCTTTCCCCATGGCTTCCCTTCGTCCATGGCAGCGAATCAGCGTCGATCTTTCTCCTCGCCGTGGTCTGGAACAGTGGTAGATCGGACAAAGCTTGTGGACATAATGCCGTGAATCGTCTACAGCCGGCACCCTCTTCTTTTCCTCCCTTCTCGGTTTACGGCGTCTTCCTCCTTCGCCGGAATAGAGACGGCGTCGTTCCCCTGGCTCCCGGCGACAGCATTTTTGGTCCGGTCGGAACTCCATGCACGCCGGCCCCCCCTCCTCGTTCCCAGCTCGAGGCTGGGGAAGACCCAGAAACGGGTCAGGAACCGGATCCTAGGGATCCGGTTCTATAAGTCTGGGCCCATTTTTCGTATGGGCCCAGATCTTTGCTTAATAAAAAAAAGGAGGTTCTGGGCCCAAAACGCATTAGCCCAAAAAAAAAATCAGTTAATTGCATTTCGGCTCAGTTTAAATTACCTCCTTGACCCATAATTTCTTAAATTTTCGAATTAGCCCCATGATATTTCTGTAAATTACAGTTTAGTCCCTTAAACTTCTAGAATTGCAATTTTGACCCAAATCTCTTCCAGAATTACTTATTTGCCCCTGATTAATTTTAAAAAAATTTTACTTAAATCCTAAATTTGTTTCTTAATTCCCAAAAGGCCCTAAAGACTTTAAAATTATTTTGTTTTGTCCTAAAGTCATAAAGTTTGTGACTTTGTAAATTATTGATGATGTTTAGGATCTTGTAGCATTAATAATGGACATACCCCATAGGTATGACATTATTAATGTGATTTTGATGGTTGGCTTTGAAAATAGGCTAATAGCACTCCTTTAATGTATTAGATATTTGTTGTACCCTATAGGTATGGAAATGTTTAATGCATTATTTTGTATGGATTTTGTGTGAGCTAAATCTTTATGGTATATGAGCCTTTTTGGTGCATGGTTATAGTTGCATAATTGATAATCGCTTGTTGGGAATTCTGTTTTATAATTATGTTGTGCACGCATAATTAATATTTCTCATTTTCTGTTTTGCGATTTCAGTTTCTGCTTTTACGCAACTATCCTTTGTGAAGGCTCTTAATGGGACTAACTATGATGACTGGAAAGAGTCCCTCAATATGTATCTGACCATTTCTGAGAAAGATTTAGCTCTGAGAGAGCCCAAGCCTGCGGATCTCTCTTCCGAGTCCAGTGCTTCTGAAATAGCCTTCCATAAATAATGGAGTGAGTCCAACCAGATCTGTCTAGCGATCATCAAATACACAATTGAAAAGGGAATTAGGGACAGCATTCCTGAAAATGATACTGCAGTGGAGTACTTGAAAGCTATTGGTAACAAATATAAGAAGCTTGACAAGACTCAAAAGAACTATTATCTGTCACTTCTTGACAATACTCGATACGACGGAGTTTCTGGTGTCAGGGAGCACATTCTGAAGCTTGTTCATTACTATAACAAGCTTAAGTCATATGGGATTGATTTGGGTGAAAGCACCTTGGTTTATCGTGTTCTTCAATTACTGCCATCAGAGTACGCATTCTTGATGACTTCATACAACTCACAAGAAGCTGAATGGTCTGTTGACCAAATGATATCGATAGTCACTCAAGAAGAGGAAGCTATAAAGAAGAATTCCTCTCACTCAATAAACTATGTTTCCCATGGCTCTAGCAGCAAATCTGGAGGGTCACATAAGAAAAAGGGGAAGAAGCATGATGCCCCAAAGCCGAATAATCCAACCTTTAAGAAGGATGGTGATAAGAGTGAGAAGTCGAGGAAGAAACCCTTTAAAGGGTTATGCAATTATTGCAAGAAACCGGGTCACATTAAAGCTAATTGCTTCAAATTGAAGAACAAACAAGAAAATGAAGGTACAACTCTTCAAACTGCCCCTCTAGCTCTAGTTTGTTTTGAATCTAACACCATTGAAACTTCCTTTGACTCATGGTGGCTGGATTCTGGTGCCACTGTACATGTTGTGAATTCTCCACAGGGGCTAAGAAACCAGAAGGTTCCAAGTGAGGCATAGAGGTCATTCTTTGGCATAGCAGGGAGCAAGGCATCGGTTGAATGCATTGGAACTATTTCTTTGTATTTAAATTCTGGTCATGTTTTACATTTGAACAATGTTGTTTATGTACCTTCTGCGAAGAGGAATTTAATTTCAACTTC